GCCCCAAGCTCCGGGCTGTCGTTGCAAAGTGCCTGAGACCACCTGCAATGAATATCAGATGCGAAAACCTAGTATCTTTCAGTGAAGAGCCACGCCTGATGCTCATCGCAGGACCTCATATGAAACAGGCATAAATCGAGAGGGATCCTTCCCGTAGATGAACCCAATGCCCAGCCAAGACTTCTGCTCCTGTGCCCGCACCAAGCTGGCCTGTGGATAAACCGCCACTACAAGTGAGAGGGGGGACCAACTCTGCATAAGAGAGCGCGCCTTCACGGCGGCCAACTCCTGCTTCAGCTCAACAATATCGGCATCATCGCTCCCGGCCTTCCCAAGATACTAACGACTAGATCAAATGAACGACTGTATCCGGGAACTACCACAGCTACGCCAGCGCCTGTCTTGCCGTCATCAGCTCCGACCTAGAGAACCGAATTTTCAAATCGTGAAAAGACATTTTCTGGTTGAGCGTGAGGCTTCAGAACCAGAAGCTCCTGACGTTGCAAATCGGTGCAGCAGAGACCCTGAAGTATCTGGAGACTTTGCCTGCCGATTAAGAACTATAGATATTTCGCTGTTGGCCCACCACATCACGAGAAGTAGGTCGGCTAGCAGCAAGAAACAGATGTCGACAGACATGAACGATTGAAGCGGCGGACCTGAATCCATCGCTGGCCGCACGGTTCGCAATGCCAGGGTCACTTCCAACAAACTACGCGCCCGCAGGCTCCCGTAAGGCAGGCAGAGTCGCTCTTCAGAGTTGATTTGGCGAATTCGTGAGAGAGGACATCCTGATCATACTAATTAAGTTGTTTCGAAGAAACTGACCAAATTCAGAAATGAACGTTCAGCATGAAGACTTCCCTTGAATTCTGTCCCGCCACGCGTGTTACCGGAATACTTCTGGAAGAGCCTCCAACTCATACAAGAACTTGCACGAAGGACCAGAAACATGTCACCGGAGTCTTACCAAACCAGTACACATAAGACAGTCGTAGTCCTGTTCAAGCTGCTCAACAGCCGTCGTCGCTTCGCTACTGGAAGCATCTACATACTTGAACCTCAGCGGAAAATCGAACAACTGCCCAGGCTGGATGCATTAATTCACAAACCGCGTAAGCAGCCAGCTGTTCCTGATACAATCGTAGGAATGCCTGCAACGTGTTCCCGTCAAGACGCTTCTGTGAGCGCCAGGATATGATAATACAAAATATCGTGCCTGATCTTGCTCACGGCACCTCGCAAGCGGGAGCAATTAAAAAAAATCGGCTCCTGCCTCGGAAAAGCCCGACCATGGCCAGATAAGGCCGTCGCTCGACGAGACGCCCGAAGCTGGCCTCCAGAAGAAAGCGGCATGCAACTCGTAGCCAGGAGCGATTGCGACTCCGAACACGAGATCCAGCCTTCATCCAGGACAGCTCGTCCTTCAGCTGAGCCACGCTGGCCTTCCATTGACCAAAGATAATATCACCAAATCCGATCCCATAGACAATCCCAAACGCACGCATCCGGCCTGCCACGCGTCTTGCGCGGCCACCAGCTCCGATCTATCGAAAAATAAGGACGCGTTTTGCCACATACCCTGGGACGAATGAACGACTGAGCACGGGTCCTCAGGCTCAACAACTCCTCCACCGTCAAGGCCGAAGCACAAACGAATACCAGACTAACTCTGCAGCACTGCATGATTTCGCTTTCGCTTCTACTTGTGCTTATGAGTTCTGTGTCTTGCAATCAAGTCAAAAAGATTATAAAAGAAATAACTCCGTGATAGCTATAAAAGCACCAAATTCCTCATAGAGACTTTTCAAGAAGGAATCGTCCACAGATCATACCACGAACAGGCTGAATGGATTCTTGTTTTTACTCTTTTAGGCATTAGATAAGTTCGCGCGGATCCTGCTCGCGCTGATCCAGTACAGCAGCCAATGCTGCCCGACAACCAGCTCCATCTTCCAGCCTGGGCAACGTGTGCAA